ACGGCGCGTGTACCCCTCCCCGTACCCCCCGTAGGGGGTGCCGTAAGAACTCGGGCTGTTTTCTGAACGGGCTCTGTGACGCCAAATCAGTGTGTCAAAGAAGCAGGGGTACGTGACCCTAAATTGTGACATGCCATCCAAACTTACTGTTTATGTAAGTTTTGAGGTTTTCACGGCGATGACTATGAAGAAAGTCGTCTTCTGGGATCTGGCGCCGTGTATTCTTGGTTTTAACCGACGTTTCGGAGGAACATATCGCCTCAAACGCAATTAAACTGCCCTGAAGATTGAGGCGATATGTTCCTCCGAAACGTCGGTTAAAACCAAGAATACACGGCGCCAGATCCCAGAAGACGACTTTCTTCAAACTTATTGTTATTTCGTGACATGTCATTATAAATTCGCTCCGAGAGTTTCCTGTAATTGTTCTTCACAGACGACTCCTTACTGGACCGTGCTACTGGCCACAGCTTCAATTACTCTGTACATTTGGTTACTCTAGGTGACGGGGGCATCCATCCTGAGTGGACTTCGGTCTTCGGTATCGACAAATGGTGAATGGAATCACGCTGTAATATTCAGTGATGATATGGCTCTACAGGGCATTTATATGTCCCGTATAATTCTCATAATAAATGGCAAGTGTTTCTCCAAACAGCATTAACCTGTTGGGCTCCGTAGCGGAGACGTAATGTGTTTCCTGTGAGGTACGGGCAGAATTTCTAAATACAATTCAAATGCGCTTACACACTTCAGACCGTGTGGCTTCCAGCGTCGCAATTAATTGCTCATGTGACCAGTTGTTTGTGTTCTTTGAGAGACGGAAGTGCTTTCAAGAATACAATGGGACTTGATAAGGGTGTGGTTGAGAGAGAGGTACCAACATGATGGATCGTGCTGTAAGCAGCTTGTAATTAAATTGTAGTCGGTCGGGACGTTGGCCGAAAGGAAACAATTAATGGGTGTCACTAGAAGAAACTCGGAGCCAACTTGAACACGACGCAGTCCGCTAGCGTCTCTCTAGCTGCATTTCTGTTGAGCTTAGAAATATTGCCAGGCCAATACATCGCGTCTCCACTAAGTAACCCCGTTGAGCACGTTCCTTCTTTAAGAGACAACAATCGCTCAGCTAGTCAATAACTTCCCCGTCTTTTATGGAACCAGAATTTCTTAATTATATCCACTTCTATGTTTCTGTAACCCCAACGCTAAGCCACTTGAACCTAATCACATCTTAATAAATTCTTTCCTTGAGATTCATCGTACTGTTATCATTCCCTTTCAACTGAAGTCCTCCATGTGGTCCTTTCCTTCTGGGTATCCAACTAAAATGTTGTGTGTATTTGTTATTTCTCCAATAATCCTAATATACCCGACGAAGGCTACAAATAATGAAACCTCTCACTACGAAATTTCTCCAATTCTGCTTCCATTACCTCTTCCTAAGATGGAAATATTCCCTTCAGTACTCTGTTCTGTAACATTCTAAGTCTGTGTTATTTCCTTGGGGTGAGAAACCAAGTGTCACACATGTGCAAAAAGCTATAAAATAATAGCTTTTTATTGTATTTTTATCTTCAGGTTTTAATAGCAGGAGGTAAGACAAATATTCTTAACTGAATGACATCTCCGGATTTAATCGGTTCCTAAATGTTTTCATGAATACAATTTTGATTTGTTAACGTCGTCCAGAAATGTTTCAGCCTCACCACACTTCCGGGCCATTTACACGTATACAGGTATCTGTATAGTTTCATCTTGTTCTGAAATGTAGGAACAAGAAAGTTTTCTCTCCGTCTGCCTCGAGACCGACCTCCTGTCCAACAGAACTCTGCACTCCTATTGCTCAGTAAAGATAAGCGAACGCACACGGCTCTAGTCTATTCAAGAGGCGTATGGAGTAGGACCACATAAAATTTCATTACATGTCGAATTCGATTTCGAGTGGCATTTATCTCGGCGTTAGTAGACCTCGAAGACCACAGTCCTCGTCCAACCGGAAGCCAACATGATATTGTAGCGTGTAGAGCCGTTACTGGGTAATGACCTAGAAAAAAATCAATGAAACGACATTCGCTACTAGATAACAGACATTTAATAAGCAAGTATAGGCGGCCGTTACTGGGTGACACCTTCACAAACAAACGCATTCTCACGGAAACAATAACGAACGGTGTTTTCTACGCTGTCTATGCCGAGATGCTGTAAGGAAAGGAGAATTCTAGAAATTAGCCTGTTGTAAGGAAGGCAGTCAGTTGTTAGGGAGTCTGTGAAGAGAGAACTTGGTCGGTGCAGTTGAAGAATCCCCACTGATAGAAGCCGTTACTAGGAAACGACTATTGAAGACAATGCAGGTTGGAAACGATTAGGTGTGTGTGCAGTAGTAGTTAGTAAAGTGTGAAAATTAGTGACGGTATTATAGTTATTTGTAGTTACGACCTGTAAGTAGTCAACAAATCCAGTCTCTAACTCAAAACCCCGTCGAGAGTCGCAATATGCTGACGTCTGCTCCATACACATCCTGAATGCAGTGTGTTACGGTCCCCGTTCTGTGACACGCTCAGATGTGTGGACATATACCTCCACAGAGATTTGCAACAGTTTCAGGGGGCAGTATGGCCACGTCATTTTAAATGTGATGTTTCAGTGAGCTGTCCATGTATGGGTGGCTCCCCTGGCGCCTGAAGTCACTCTGCTCTCCACCATTTCCTGTATGCGAGAGATAACAGGAAGTCGGAATGTGGCTGTGATGCAGTTCCCACGCAGGAATCAAATATCTCGCTTCGGGCTTGCGTGACATTACGTCAGAGCGCGTCCAGTCATTATTTTGTTACATTTGTAAATTTAATTTCCCAGTATCAAGTTTATTCGAATGTAATGGTCGGTAATGCAATGCTGAAACCGGCCACGTGATCATTCTATACAGATACAGCTATTTCACTGTACACTGTACAGACGAGCAACACGCCATATCCTCACACTAGTTGCAAAATGCATTGATATTGACGGCGGAATTTTCGAAAATGTATTATATTAGGTAAACTGTACCGACCTTGTTACTTGAACAATAAATACCGGTATTAGAAACAGTACGTACAATCTCTTTCTCATAAACAATTTTGGAACTGTACACTGAAACCTCTCGGAATAGGACACATGTACATATATACTTTTGTTGTTTAGAATGGCCGATACTGTGACCTCCCGGAATATTGACCTTTCCTCCTGAGACATTCTGTATATTATTTAAATGACATATTTATCATATTCGTCAGTTTTACTTGAGAAATAATAGAACATAATAAGGAACGTACATTGACAAGGAGCCTCTGTTCAAAAATTTGCACTGCAGTTGCAGAAAATATTTTTTTTACGTTCGTAGTGGTTACTTATATTTAAAAGTTTCTAGGTTCTTGGACTTACACACCTGCCACTCTTATGGCCTCCAGAACACACTTCGTTACCATGGTTACCGTGAAAACATAAGTATGAAGCAATATTTTATAGGCACACGTAGTAAAGAATAGCAGCGGCACGCACACGGAGACTACACAAAATAACACCTGTACAGTTCTGGAAACAAGAACTAGCCGCTGCAGCACTATAGACACAGGGCGAGTAACCCTGACAATTTTAAATTTTAAAATTTAGAGAAAAATTTTAAAACATTGAAAATTAGAACTGAAGATTTTATAACTGCTAACGTGTGTAACAAAAATAATCTATAAACCAGACAGATATCAACGAAGTAGATGTTGATAATAACAAGGAAAGGAACAATGTGTTTTTAAATGTTAAATTTTAAATTAAGTGCAGTGTAACAGCAACGTGAGTGTATACACCTGATGATGGCCGTTTGAGGCCGACACATGTAGTGTAAAGGAGAGCAAGATCAAGGACATATAATATATTGTTTCCACTTGGGACGGAGTTCATATCATTTATCATACGTATGAAGGTTATAATATTCACTGCCGTCAGTGTCCAGTAATTTATTGTGGGGAAGAAATGCAAAAAGAAATTGAATTGGACTTAAACTCATACATGTAACAGAAAAATCCTAAATTTTCTCAAGGTTGCCTTTTCAAGTAGAAAAGTTTCTGTATTTATAATTTTTTCTACGACCGGCAGATTTGGAGAAACAGGGTGGGATGTGTAGACAGACAGACGGATGTTTGGCTATTGTACATGTACGTAGCATGTCGAGTAGGAAAATGTGCACTGCAATTTGAGGAACAATTTTTGTTGCTGGTGTTGATGGTTACTTACATTTGACGTTCTAGATTCTGGACAGAGACATATGTCGCTGCTGTGACCTCCAGGCACACTGCGTTACCATGGTTTCTGTAAGAACGTGGTTATTTTCGTCACTGTTCCAACGTTTTTCTGACGAAGAAAAAATATTGGGTAAGAAATTGGCCTGGACTTTAACCCATGCACCTAACAACAAATTAAGAATTATCCCGGGTCGTCTATCGCACCACTTTTTTTACTTATAATTATTTCCTACTACGCACAGTTTCAGAGAAACGGGGGCAGGACGGACACTTGGACCGACAGTCATACGGACGTATGGACGGTTGACTTTAACATATTTGGATCCTGTAGACACTTTGGGGTAATTTCAATATTCAAATGGTTTATTTTATTAAAATACGAATTGTATTTGTAAGTGGAATATTTTCAACTTTGAGAATTTTTACAAATGCAACATACAGAAGCAAGTTTCTGCTTGTACGCTAAGCATCATTCGACGCTATGTAGACTCCACTACTGACAATGTCGTTAAATGAGCTATAAATGAATAAATAAATAAGTAAATGAATGAATAAATATAAATGTGGTTATGCCACTATTGCACTTAAATTTCAATACGTGACCCGATATGATCTCCAGAATAATAATCGATAATCGAACGGTCCGACATCGACATGTTATTAATCGATATTAAGATATTATGGGAACGTTGGCGGTTGGCGGGATGGTCACGTTTCAGAAAGAGCAAGTTAAATGTGCTGTGTTGTTGCTGATAGATGATGTGTTTATAACTGTGTAAAGTGCTTTTGTGGAAGTAATATGTTGCAGTTTTAGTGTAATATGATAGTTAAAAGGCAAACGTGCTTAAGATGCAGAAAACTCGAGTGGTTGAGAAGCAGCTATTCATTGCGGCCTTGTAAGCAAAAAATATTAATATATAATTATATTTACTTTGGCGAAATACACATATTTGTCACACTAAACTCTTACGTAGACACTTGACAGTAACCGAATTGAATAAGTCTGCTTAGTATGTAACGGATTCTTATATCACTTTTGCATTATTGATCTGAATGTCGTGGAGTGATATAGGTCGCAAGACCTTGTAATAATTATATTTCGACCGTAAATAATGTAATACGTTTTCTTACAAGGAACAGAATCGTATACAAGACGTCTGCATATTTAATGACAAAGCATGAGTTATTTAAGGACTTCAAGAAAGCCTAAGATTCAGTTAGGAGGGAAGTATTGTACAATATTCTGATAGAGTTTGGGATACCCATGAAACTAGTTAGGTTGATTAAAATGTATTTAAACGAAACATATAGCAAAGTTCGTGTAGGTAAACATTTGTCTGATAAATTCCCTATCCAGAATGGTCTAAAAGGAGGAGATGCTTTATCGCCACTCCTTTTCAACTTTGCTTTGGAATATGCCATTAGGAAGTTCCAGGGAAACAAGGTGGGACTGAAATTAAAGGGGACACATCAGCTGTTGGCCTACTGGCCTGTGAATCTACTGGGTTATAATGTAGATACCATAAAGAAAAATACACAAACTTTAATTGATGCAAGTAAAGAGGTTAGTCTAGAAGTAAACACAGAGAAAACTAAGTATATGTTGCTGTCTCATCACCAAAATTCAGGGCGAAATCATGACATAAAGATAGGAAACAGAAGTTTTCAAAATGTGGCACAATTCAGATATTTGGTAACAATGATAACAGATCGAAACCTTATTTAGGAGGAAATTAAGAGGAGATTGAACTTGAGCAATGCTTGCTGCCATTCAGTCCAGAACCTTTCGTCTTCTCATCTGATGCCAAAAAAACATAAAAATTAGAATATTCAAAACTATAATTTTGCCTGTGGTTCTGCATGAGTGTGAAACTTGGTCTCTGATATTAAGGGAGGAACATAGACTGAGGGTGTTTGAGAACAGGGTGTTGAGGAGAATATTTGGACTGAAGAGAGATGAAGTGACAGGAGGTTGGAGAAAACTGCACAATGAGAACGAGGAATGCGTATAGGATATTGGTGGGAAAGCCAGAAGGAAAGAGACCACTGGAAGACCAAGGCATAGGTGGGTGAACAATATTAAAATGGATCTTAGAGAGATAGGATGGGATGTTATGGATTGGATTGATCTAGCTGAGGATAGGGACCAATGGAGGGCTCTTGTTAACATGGTAATGAACCTTCGGGTTCCATGAAATGCTAAGAAATTCCTGAGCAGCTGCAGAATTGGCAGCTCCTTCAGAAGGGCTCAGCTCCATGTGTAAGTAAGTGTAATATTATAGCACACCTGAAGATGGTTTTTAGCGCAAATTTGGAGAAGCTGCTCTTAGAGCCAAAAAATTAACAGTTTCCCACATACAGTTGCAGACTGCAAGCAGCACCTGCCTTTTATTTCTTTTCTACATGCGTAATTTGCATTTCAGTATTTTTCTATAATAAATTACTATAAATGAAGTGTATCCGCAATGCACTGCTTATGCATCTTGTTATGGTGATGATGTGGAGCATAAATTCTCCATCAGGTAAGTATTTATGCTGTATGTACCACATACAGTATATTATCTGCAACATGTGTGGATACCATAATGTCTCTAAAAATAATACTGCTTTGCATTTTCTGTTTGTGCTTCCCTGATCTTTATTAGCTTCTAATGTGCACATTTATAAGATTTTTATTTCAGGTGCTATGATGACTTGTGGAGTGGAAATATTGTATAACATTCATCAGAAATATCATAAAAATACTTTCTGAATTGCTTAAGGAAGGTAAGAGATTGATACGTAATGTTACTGCGTACCTTTGTCATAATTATGTAGCAATTTTGATGTTGCAGAGCAAGTGAAAATAATCAGAGTACAGTGTTGCTGCTATTAAAGAAACCACTAATATAATACAAGTAGAATGTGCTTTAAAGTATTGAAATCATTTTATGGTTCATTAGTGCTTTTCCAGCCAAACAGCAAAGTGGATAAGGAGGAGTGGGGAGCAGAAATGTCTGTACAAAGCAGAAAAACTGTGGACATTCTTTGGAAAGAGAGCAAACCAGAAATCTGAATACATATTCACTTCTACATGAATGGGATAATGAATAATTTAAATTTTATTGTCTCCTGTGGCTGTAAAAGGTAAATATAATCTCAAAAGTAACATACACAGGAAGTGTCATAACAGTTTTCATCACCTAGTTCTGTTCCATGTATGTTAATAAAAAGTCTCGAGCTTCTTTTCCTCAGATCTTGTCTTCATGCTTTCTTGCCAGCCATGTTTCTATTCCTAATGTCTTCTGGTACCTGACTGAACCATCATTGTATTGTAGGTTTTCTTATAGTCCTCTGTGTCCTTTAAATTGTAATTGCCTTTACTTATGAATGTTGTCTGCATTTTTGGAATGTATGTACATATATTTTCCCAATTTGTTTTCCAGCAGAAATACTGCCTCCAATCCTGGAATCTATTTCATGGTCAAGACCTCGACAAGGAAATGTGGGTACAGAGAGGCTTCAGAGAATTACTAAAGGATATGTGCTGTTTATGCATTATTGGAAAGTCTTCTTCATGATGTCCACATGAATCTGAGTAGAACAGAACAACAGAATTTGAAGACTAAACAGTGTCGCAGCACAATCACTGCTGTGAGAACTTGAGAGCTCACAGCGCATGAACAGTTGTTGCAATATAATGCTTTGTGGCAGTGATTCCCAACCTTTGTCAGACTGAGGCCTGGTAAATTCTTTTTTCTATAAGACAAGGGCCCAGTATAATTGATGCCAAGGCCCAGTACAGGGCCATTGCCCAGTGGTTGAGAAACACTGCTTTATGGGCACTGAACAACCCCAAACGCCTTACTGGCAAAAGTGCAGCTGTATGTAGCATTTCCTTTATCACCCTAGTGGAGACAGATGCCATATCCCTCCATAGTTAGGTTGGTAACCCCTATACCAGAAACTGGAGATGATATATATATGTGTATTTGAATGAATGTTATGCAATGAGCAAATTAACTTACAGTCCATGATTTAATAATCCCACCTATCTGCGCTCCCATGTGGCTGCCTCGAAACAGGTTTGGCCAACAGTGACATCAGTGCTGCCTGCCCCTGCACACCATTGGCTGCCAGCTGTGGTCCACTGCGTCAGTGTTCCTGGCTCTATTTCCACGCTTCAGCAGTTGGAGGTGAAGATGTCACAACGGTGCTACATTCTCCAGCTTGAACTGGGGCTTGCTGTGTCACATGCATGCGAAGTCAGGGATTATTAAGTCATGGCTCCACTGTGGCAATGTAACACTTTGCTCACTTTCAGGGGTGTCTTGCTTGAATGTGTAGCAGTGCACTCGTTATCTCAACTTGAGATTTTGAGGTGTGTGGATATGTTTGTCCCAGCAGGGAAATGCTAAGATTCTACCTTAAATTGACCACACCCTTCCTTCTAACAATTGGCCGTACTTAATAGTATTGCCATTTTTATTGTATAATATGGTAAAGTTATCCTTGTAACAGGCTATGAAGGCCCATAGGGTTGTGAGAAGTTGAGGCTCCCACGTCTTCTAGAAAATTGACCCGCAGATTGCAGTAGATTGTCAGCCCTATGTGCCAGCCCCCTTTACCCCCAGGAAGATTCATGGTACTCATTTCTGATAGAGGCTGAGTCGAACCCAGGGCCATAGTGAGGCTGGAAGGATTAGGTCAATTGAAAAAATCCACCTCATTGGGACTCGAACCCGTGACCTTCCATAGTGTAGCATAGTGCCTCAACCAAATACGCTACCGCATACCACATTGAATAATAAAGAATTTGTAATCTGTGCAGTTGAGGTGATGAGGTTATGTGTATCAAATTATATACTGTTACACCCCAGACAACGGTAATCTTCATATATGATGGTTATGTATATTAAAAGCTAACATAGTGTTTACAGTTTATGTACGTATGTATATGAATGATCATGGTAATGATTGTTATGTTAATATAATAAGCTGAAATGTATGAATATTGTAAGCTCCTGTTGGTGGTTCAGTTGATGGATGTAAGAGAAACAAGATGTGAAGAATAGATGTTGTTTATTCATATTTTTTCCAGGTACAAGAAGGTTTGTTCTCTTTTGGGAGATAAGTCACTTGGTGTGCAGCAAATGTGAGATAACTCCAAAATTTTTGTAATTTTGTGTTATGAGTTGACAGTCACCTTAACCAAGAACCTTTAGTCAAAATAATTGTGTACCAGTAATTCAATAGGTAATTAATAATGTATTAACAGTTTACTTACAGGAACAGGAATTAGGTAGCATTCTAAAATGGCGAACAGCATTAAGACCACCCCCTCTTGTGAATGAAACAGATTTTAACTAGTCTGTTGAAATTTGTTAACACAGTGATTAATCATACTGTTTGTCCACCATTTAACTGTGAGAACAAGGATTGCAGTTTGATTAGAGGAACCTCATCCAAGAATTATGCCTTAACGTTTGTGTAAATAATGATTCAGCCATAGCCAAATGTTGGAAACTGAATGTGTGGAGCAGAGTCCTTCTTGAGAAGCTTACAGTTGTTTAGTCAGTCAAGGAATTTACAGTGTTTTGTGGAACCAGAAGTGTTCATTGCCATGTTCAAGCAGCCTGCCACTGGATGCTGTCTAGAAGCAGGTTCACCCGCGCCATAGCTCAAGCAGTTAGTCGCTGAGTTCCCACGGCGGCGGCCCGGGTTCGATCCCAGCTCTGGTCAAGTGGGATTTGTGGTGGACAAAGTGGCGCTGGGGCGGGTTTTCTCCGAGTACTTCGGTCTCCCCTGCCACTCTTCATTCTACCAAATTCTCCATCATCATAATCACCTGGGTCAGGCTACAATAGGCCAATTAGTGGCTGCCATGTCAAGTGTACCCAGTTGGACTCCACCCCCCCACTAAGCGAATTTAAGAAAAAAATAAAGGATGTTCATGTTGTTACTGGAAGTTAGAAGGAGTTGAGGATAAGCAGCCAGTTTCAGGCTTGGTCACTTTGCATGTCATAGTTTCTGAACTGTATACTTGTATTTAGCTATATCAGTGGTAAAGATATATATTTTCTATTGACTGGAAGATTAGTTCAGGACAGTACATATTTAATACCACATATTTCTTATTCAGAGGAACATATAGAATATCAAATTTCTGGAGCATGGGAAGTAACTTCCAAGACTTTTCAGAGTACAGCCAAATTATACCATAAAGTGTTATTTATTACTCATTTGAACTGAACTGATGATACATCCTGTTCTGATGTTCAAATGTCATCCTCTGGGGTACCTGTTCAACAAATGCGGTGGTAAAATTTCCTTAAGGTTATTTTATAAGACTGTACATAAATCAAATCATTTACTAATGGAGCTGAGGCCTTCTTGAGAAGCTGCCAATTGTGCAGCTGCTCAAGAACTTCCCAGCATTTTATGGAACCAAAAGCTTCATTGCTACATTCACAAGAGCCCTCCACTGGTCCCTATCCTGATCCAGATTAATCCTATTTATACCATCCCATCCTGTCTCACTAAGATCCATTGTAATATTGTCCACCCACCTATGTCTTGGTCTTCCCTGTGGTTTCCTTCCTTCTGACTTTCCCATCAATATCCTATACACATTACTTCCCTCCCCATTCGTGCTACATTCCCCGCCCATATCATTCTCCTTGACTTGATCATTCTAATTATACTTAGAGAAGAGTACAAGTTTGAAGCTCTTCATTATGCAGCTTTCTCCAACCTCCTGTCACTTCATCTCTCTTCGGTCCAGATATACTCAACACCCTGTTCTCAAACACCTGTCTATGTTCCTCCCTTAATGTCATAGACCGAGTTTCACACCCATACAGAACCACAGGAAAAATTATAATTTTGCATATTCTAATTTTTATGTTTTTAGACAAAAGACGAGAAGACAAAAAGTTCTGGACTGAATGGTAGCAAGCATTACCTAATAAACTTATAAAATTAGTTGACAGTAAAGCAGCACCATGTCTTTTATGCAGTTCAGAGATCCTGTTGCTTGAAATCTCGGGTAGAGAATTAGTTCCATGACAGCAGGATAAGGGGATGAGTGGAATTACAGAAAAGCCTCGCTAATCCTGAGTAACTGATGGGGAGTTCGTCTGAATTATCCAATAATTTAGTTTAAGAAATCAAAAGCTAAAAACTTAGGACCTAAATAAATGGAAAATTTAATGATATAAGTAAATAAATATAAATATCACTATAGAGCCTTTATTTGAAAACTATAATAAGACAGTGCATTTATTCATTGATAGAAGACTCAGAAGTTTTACTTGTTTTTGAACGTATGAATGCAGGTCTGAAGAAACTGTCAGGTTTTGTCTGAACAGACAAGTGACTTGTCTGCCTTCCTAAATGCCACATATCTTTTAAAGTATGTACTCAACTGTCAGTAGCATTTTTCATATTTCAATCTAGATCAACTGTAGGCAGATTGTCGAGGGTTTACTGTAAATGGTGTTTAAGTCCTTATCATTAGAAGGACGAGCTTCTGGCCATCTTATTCATAATGTAAACTCCTGTTGTTTCCAACTTCTGGGCCTACTATTTATAATGACAACCTAACTCCTTCACTCTGTAATCTGCCAAGTGTTGGGTCAGAGATGAATCCCCTAACATAATGCCCAAGGATGTGACAATGTGCTGCCTGCTCAGGGGAGGGTGGTAGAGGACTATAGAGCAGAGATGAAGTGCTGTTTAGCAGAGGAGAAGCAAAGTAACTCAAGAGGCAGGGCCGCGCCATAGCTCAAGCGGTTAGTCGCTGGCTTCCCACTGCGGCGGCCCGTGTTCGATCCTGGGTCTGGTCAAGTGGGATTTCTGGTGGACAAAGTGGCGCTGGGGCAGGTTTTCTCCGAGTACTTCGGTTTCCCTTGCCAATCTTCGTTCCTCCAGTTGCTCCACAATCACCCTCACCTCTCATCTGGGGCTGGTACAATAGGCCAGAAGTGGCCGCAGTACAAGGGACTTAGTCCCACCACACTAGCAATAAAAAA